GTTATAATATAGTTACACAATTACTTTGCACTCTATGAAAATTACATTTTAGGACATTTTATAACATAGGAAAATGCACAACTTGCGTGAATACAGCAAATTATAAAATAGTATGTGCAATATGATTCAAAATTTGTTTGTAAAAAGTACATATAGACATAAGAAAGATTCTGAAAACATTTGGCTGAAAAGCAATAGTATTTATTTCTGGGAATAAGGATTACATTTTTAAGTGTTTTTTCTTATTATTTTATTTTTCCAAATCACCAAAAAACATGTGTTTAGTATAACAGTGGGACCAAAAATATCAATTCAATGTTTCTAAAAATAAAGTTAATACTCACCAGAGAGCACAACTGAAAGCTTACAAGAAGATAAAAATTGCCTGGACTGTTTTAAGGGGAGCTTTATCTATCCAGGAAGTGAGACAGAAGGGCTGCAGTCTCTGTGGTTATGAAATTTGTGATAAACACCCACATATGGTGATTTTCTTTCTTTGTTTCTATGTTTCTTTCTTTCTCTCTCTCTCTCTTTATTTATTTATTTATTTTTGCCAGTCTGCAGTTTGTTTTCTTCCAACTCAGAGTTTGGGGTTAATAACAATACACTGAAATTATGCCCTAAGAGAAAGCTATGGTTTAAATATGCGAATCTCCATGCTTTAAAGGAATAAAATGTAAAGTCCTGTTATCGCCAAGTTAATGGGGAGGAAATCTACAACAAGGAAGTTTACATATTGCATTATTTAGCTCACATTTTCTATTCTCTGATAAGCAACTTAAGTTCCAATAACCAATGACTTACTCTATGACATTATAGTAACAGACCTTTTAAAGTGTTAAGGGGATGATGTACTGAAATGTCAGTAATACATTATAATTTTACGTTTATGACAATTGAAATGAAGAGCAAATACGATGTTATTACACTATTAGAACTGTTATTATCTGTACCATAAGAAGACAAATTATAGCCCCTGGGCCAAGTGTGGTTCAGTGCCTGTTTTGGTGCCATTTATGAGGTAATAATGGTTTTTACATTTTTAAATGGTTGGGGAAAAATAAAAAAAAATTTCATTAATGTAAAAGGAATACGAAATGTCAATTTCAGTGTTCATAGTTTTACTGGAACACAGCCATGGTCATTTTTTTATATCATGCCCAGCTGATTTCACATTATAATGACTTCTTGAAAGAACTGTGACAAAGAGCATATGGTTCTCAAAGCCTTAAATATTTCCTAAGCTTTACAAAGAAAGTTTGCCTGATCTAGCATTTTCGAGGTAGTTCTGAATATTATTTGTATTTTCTACCCTCAGCCGCTAGATGGCATAAAAGATCCTTAAGCCAGTAGAAAGAATAACCCCAAAATCAAAAAACTTCTGTCCTACAGAGGATATTTACATTTTCAATTAAGTCATCCTCTAAAAGGGAGTTCTTTCAGCAGTACAAAACTTTTTGCTGTATGTGTTCAACAAACCAAAAATCAAATGTTTAAAGGAAACTAAGAAAGCATTAATTTAGTCTAGAAATAATGTCTGCACTGAAATTTAGCATTTATTCACTTCTGTCTAAAGTAAATATTATGTGAATATGCACTATTAAAGAGGTTCCTCAGTTTTACTGTGTCTATACAAAATTCTTCTCTTATTAGACTGCATTGCACTTCTCCAGTTGCCAGGCTAATACAATCAGCTGAGCCAACTGGATTTAGAATGAGGTGGGTGTGTGTGTGTGGGTGTGGATGCATATGTTCAGCACCAACTTTTACTTATTTTAACTGAATTTAAGTGGTCTTAAAGGATTTGACTGAACAGCTCTCTCAAGCGCTCTCTCTGTCTCTCTCTCTCTGTGTTAGCACTGCGTAGACACAGTCAGCCACGACTAGTTTTACCATGGCCAAATTTTACACATAAATCAATCAAAGCAAGGCCACTGGGCCTCTCACCCATTTTGTCTTTATAATTTACTGTCACGTTAAAACCACATTATGATCTTTTGAAAGAAGGATGCAAACCTGTATTGCTGGTATGGTAGTATTATTCATGTTCTTTTAAACTGCAGGTTCCTCATTTCTCAACAAGAAGACAAAAAGCACTACATTACCACCCAGAGGCACAGCAGAGAGAATTCTGGCACCGTCTTCACCTAACGCTCACACCCTCTTCTACTGTTACAGTAGGTAAGTGGTCAGGCATGAGTGGGGCAGGAGAGGGCACCCCCACCCACCAACCGGGAACGTCAGGAGACCATAAGGCGATGGTCAGGAGGTTGTTACACTGTTTCTCTAAAATAATAATTGGTTGCAGCTGGGGGCCCGGGAAAGGCAGTCTCCCAAGATACAGAAAAACAAAACAAAACTGGTGATCAGCAGCTTCCCGATAAGACATCGGGAGTTGAGTGCGTGGACTCGAGCATGCGCAGTAAGAGGTAAAATGGCAGCGTTTAACTGGTACGCGACCTTGTAGGAGCATTTGACGGGAGGGAAGAGCGCTTCAAGTGAGCATGCGCACAACTCCAGCAAACGGACTGCACGTGCAGCGCCCCCCAAGGGCTGGCAGGCCACTGTGCATGCAGACAGCCCACCCCCAGCGAAGAATCAAGGGAAAAGGGACCAAAGACCCTGGAACATGCCAATGTATAAAACCCCAGTCAAAGGTCAAACCGTGCACTCGATTTTTCAAGTCGCCTGCTTAGCCCGCTTCCAAGTGGACTTCACTTCCTTTCATTCCTGCTCTAAAGCTTTTAAATACATTTTCACCCATTCCTGCTCCAAAACTTGCCTCAGTCTCTCCTGCCTTATGCACCTCAGTAGAATTCATTTTTCTAAGAAAGCAAAAATTGAAACTGCAGCAGATCCATGGGAATTCGCTGCCAGCAACATACTTTGGTGCTGCGAGACTCAGATATGTTTCACTGCTAACATTACTATTTCTGTTCCCTTTTTTCTGGAACTGTCAATTATGAACCTTTCCTTACACAAAGAAAAGTTCAAATAGGACAATGGATAACCCTATACTGATCACCTAGTTTAAATAATTTTGTCTTCTCTCTGTTAACTATTCCTATGTATATATCTATGTATGCATGTATCTATCAATCTATTATGTTTGTTGTTAAACCATTTTTAAGTTGCAAACATCATGGCACATCTCTAAATAACTCACCATGTATCTCCCAAAATAATAGCATTTTTCTGTCTACCCACAAAACCATCATACACCTAATAAATCAGCAATAATTCTATGGTATCAATTAATACCCAGTGAACACTGAAATTTCTCTGATTGAACCCCCCAAAATTCGTTTTAAGAATTTCTTGTTGCACCAGGATCTGATCTACAGCTGTGCTTCACACACTTTTAAGTATCTACTGTTCTCCTCTAGACAGGTGCTGCCTCCATTCTCTATGTAGACTTTTTTATGTTTGTTTGTTTTTGAGAGGGAGTGTCGCTCTGTCGCTCAGGCTGGAGTGCAGTGGGGTGAGCTCGGCTCACTGCAAGCTCCGCCTCCCGGGTTCACGCCATTCTCCTGTCTCAGCCTCCCAAATAGCTGGGACTACAGGCGCCCACCACCATGCCCGGCTAATTTTTTGTATTTTTAGTAGAGATGGGGTTTCACCGTGTTAGCCAGGATGGTCTTGATCTCCCCACCTCGTGATCCGCTCGCCTCAGCCTCCGCTCATAGGCGTGAGCCACCGACCCTGCCCTATGCAGACTTCTTTTTCATGCTGATTTTTTTTTTTTTAAGACCCATTCATTTGCCTTGCAGAATCCACATTTTGAATTCTTTTGATTGTTTTCTTGTGGAGCTATTTAAATTGTTTCCTAGCCTTTATACTTTCTGTAAATGGGAGGTTAGGTCAGAAGTCTTAACAATATGATGCTGTATATTTCATCTGTTGCATCACACTGAGAGGTGTGAAATGTTGAGCTATCTCATTTTTGATAACGCTGATTTCAGTCAATTCCTCAAGATACTGATCACACCTTGTAAAGATGTTATTTTTTCTTTGCAATTAGCAAGCATCAACAAGGTTCTACTTTGTCATTGTGCAACCACCACAACTTTTATAGTAATTATTTCAGGTGTGGACATAATAGAACATATCATTAAGGATTGATGAACAGTAATTCTCTAATTCTGTTAATCCTTTGCCTGTCATTATCTAACATCATCCTGCATGGAGGAATTTTCTCTTATTCACTGAGAATGACTTATTAAAAGTCAGAGTAAATGCTGGATTCTTTACCTTTAATTCTCATTTTCATAGTAAGGATTTGGTGTAATACTCATCTCCAATTGAAGCAAAGTATTTGATGTTTCTCTCTCCCTTTCTCTCTCATACCGGAGACTTATGTATTTTCTTATTTATTTATTTGGAGACAGGGGCTCACTCTCACCCAGGCGGGAGTGCAGTGGTGTGATCATGGCTCACTGCAGCCTTGACCTCCCAGGCTCGGGTGACCCTCCCACCTCAGCCTCCTGAGTAGCTGAGACCACAGGTGTGCGCCCTCTTGCCCAGCTAATTTTCTGTAGATACGGGGTTTCACCATGTTGCCCAGCCTGGGGCTTTTATTTTTAAGTTTTTTACAATTAGTTATTGTTTCTGATGCTCAGTTTGTTCTCGTATATCGGGCCGTGAGACGTCTTTCTAGCCGGATGCTGTGGCATATCCTTACTGTTCTTCGGTGTAAAATGTTCTTCCTGATCTTCTTCCCTGGCTGAGACTCTGGGTCTGTTTCATTCCTGCACATGACAGCTCCCTGTCCTCCTGCATCCCGGCAGCATCTCCATCTGAGGAGACCACTGTCCTCCTTCCAGACTGTGTCATCCAATACAATGAAAGTGCTAGACTGCCTCACCCACCCCCACAGAATCTGCTTAACACAGCAATTGCCTGCCATCAAGAATAACCCTGTAAATTAACAGTGCCAAACCAAGTTCCCAAAGGCATGGGGGGACAACCTCTCCTTGAAATGCCATAAAGATTTCTCTTACCTTGCGTAATAGTCACTGGGTGGAACTGCTTCTTGAAAGAATTGGAACTGGTATAAATAAAGTCCAATCAAATGTCCAGCAGTGAAAATAGCCAGCAGAACACAGAGGCAGCTGAACAGCAATGGGTCGAACGTCCGGCACCAGGACCACCAGGTGCACAGACCCAAAAATACAAAAAAATACACAGATGATGTCAAAGACGGCAACATCATACCTAAGGAAAAGAAACGTAATCACAAAGTCAGGTAGAACTGGAAATTCATTTATCATTCAGTGAATATAACTATTTGAAATTATGTGAATTTCCTTCAAGTGTTTTTAGGTATTTAAAAAATCATATTTGATTTATATAATAAAAATTAAGGCTATATTTATTGTGAAAAAGTCATATATGAAAGGATAACTATAAATACAAAGATATACCAGATGATTTAAAAAATTCCACCTGTGGCATTTGAACTAAGTAAATGTCTACTTTTCATACCAGTAGCATTTGCATATTTACTTGCCTGTTTCCATCTTTCTACTTCTCCCAAAGTTTCAAGAATTCATGTACCTGTATGTCTGTTCCAACCTTTCCTGAAATCATTTTCTTTATAATAATTTACTACTTTTTTTTTTAGTTACCTAGTACGTCCTGGCCAATTAAATTCTCACTGTGCCCTGCTTATTTTATTTTATGTTTTGTAGAGATGGGGTTTTGCCATATTGCCCAGGTTGGTCTTGAACTCCTGGGTTCAAGTAATCCTCCCTCCTTGGCCTTCCAAAGGGCTGGGATTACAGGCATGAGCCACTGGTCCTGGCCAATAACTCCTTTAAAAGGGTTTTTAAGAAATCATAAATAAAGCCAGCACCTTAAGGCAAAAGGAGACTATTTTATTGGGCATTTTGAAATGACTCCTCATTAAAATGTTGTGGTTTATTTCTTGAGAAATTCTACTGTCTTTTCCCCCATTTTTCCCCCTATTAAAAAACAGCGAAGTTGCTGCAGCATTGCAGTTTGCTTGAGTCTACTCTAATATGCCTTCCGTAGCTCCGGAGCAGTGGTAAGCAGCGGAATGGAAGGAGGGAAAAGATCAAGATAACATTATTATGGAATAAGTGGTCCAATGCCAAAGTTTAAAGGAAGTGAGCGTCTGTGCTGGAAGATTACAATCTAACTTAGGAAGAAAAATAGTCTATCCTGGAGAGTTATATTAAGGTGACTATGGACTCATGTAAGCAGACAGACCTCCAGAACCTACAATATGGCTTGTGATGGGAACACGCACATTGTTAATTGCAGCAGGTCACCATTCCAAAGCTCTAAGGAAGAGGATTGTTGTTATTCTAATCTAAACCTAGAAAATGCAGTCGCTTAGCATACATAGAAAAAGATTATTTTGCAGAGGTTAACAGAAACCATCTAAAAACATCAAAACTAGAACTAACCAGGAAAAATTATTTTGTGTGGTTTGCACATGTGGCCAGTTTTACAAGAGCTACAGTTATTATTTTCGTGTGGTGGAACAGATCGTTTCCTTCATTTCTTCTTCAACCATTTCTCTCAATCACCAAAGCACTGCTTGTGCGTTTTACCACGTGCCGCCAGTGTGAGAGACACTCACCCGAGGAGCCCAGTAAGATGGTAACAACCACTTTCCCAGCAGTGGTGATCATGTTGCCAATGAACTCTTTGAGCTTAGAGGCCACGCAGGCAAGCCTGCGGAACATTTTTAACCTCGTGCTTTCTTCCAACTCGCCTTCAACACCATCTCCTCCGTCTAAATCCTCTTCGTAGATCAGTGCCTCTTCTGAATCAATTTTTTCTCCTCCAGCCTAAATAAAGGACAAACAGGAAACACTCAAGTCCAGGAGCCTGCCTATCCAGACAGCAGATTACAGAGCTTCTAATTCATGGGTCAATCAATGTGGTGAATTTCACAGATCAGGAAAAAAAGGAAGACAACCAGTTCATTCCCCTCAGGTCTCTGATAATCCCTGTATAAGCCCAAGTAACTTTGATCTTTCTTGAAGAAGTAAACATAAACAGGAAACATTACAATTATAGGGTCCTAATAACATGTCACGTTCCCTATTTGTGCTTATTTTTTTTATAGGCAAAGAAGAAACTGTCTGAAACATCTATTAACAAGTTTGGTTTAGATCAATCTGGGTTTGGGTCTTCAAATTTACAGAGTTGGCCAACAAGGTGATAGGAAGTTTGATAAAACTATCTATGGCTTTGACTCAAAGCATGAGCCCAATCAGTGTTTAGGAAATTCTGTTTTTTTCTAAGTTTATCTTTGTTCGCTATTTCCACATTTCCTGACCATGGAAGAATGAGTGCTCCTGGGCTTCTTGGCTACATATAGAGCTGCTTCCTATCTTATTGTTTTAGAGAATGATATGCTGGTTCAAGCCTGGGCAGCTCAGCACCTTAGTGCTTTAAGCAGAGATTTAGGGAGTTAACACATGTACCAGAACATATGCATATTTCCATGTATTATTTTAAACTGGGTATGCTAAGGCATTTTTGCTTGTTCGTTTTGCGTTTAAAGAATAAATGGGGGGCTGGGCATGGTGGCTTATGCCTGTAATCTCAGCACTTTGGGAGGCCGAGGCAGGCGGATCACGAGGCCAGGTGATTGAGACCATCCTGGCTAACACGGTGAAACCCTGTCTCTACTAAAAATACAAAAAAAAGCTGGACGTGGCGGCATGCGCCTGTAGTCCTAGCTACTC